TCATCGAAGGATTTATGGGTATAATAACAACAAACTCAGTATCAGCATCGCATGAAATCGCATCCGTTCGAAGACGGGGTGGGTAGCTACTAATGTTTAAAAGATCTTGCAGCAAATCCCCTTTACAAATTACGATACTACATGATTTGCATTCGTGCGTAACAACTTATCAACAATGCAAAGCCTTTGTATTGATATATAGGTACCTATATACATACATATTGCAACAATTAATCCAGTTAATACTAAAATAGACTGCATTAATGAATGATTAATTTAATCTTACGTATTGTAAACTAAGCTCTAGCTAGCAAGCAATGAATTTTATTCAGATGTTGGTTTTTCCAAACCAGGGCGCTACGTTTTACGGATGTCAAGACTACAAAGTGAACAGTTCGACAGGGCTGTCTCTGTTCCGTTTTTAAATTTTATTTTGATGATAGTTATTTGTTAGTCTTTATTTATTTGTTGATTTCAAATTATTAAAACGACGTTCCGTAAGTTATGTAGGGCTAAGAATATATTAATCAATTTATTTTTATTCCATAATATAAGTCAGAACTAGGTCCAGCTGAAAATTGATATTTAAATAGTACCCATTGCGCACAGCACAGAAATAAGACTAGCCTTTCTACAAAAACTGTACGTAATATATAAAACTAGGTTTTGCCCGCAACTTTGTTCGCGTGGAATATTGACTTCCTGCAGTTTTTTGTTTTAAAAACTAGCCTATGTCCTTCCTCGAATTCCAAACTGTATCTGTACCAAATTTCACACAAATAGGTTCAGTAGTTTAGGCGTGAAGAAAAGACAGACAGACAGAAGGAACAGTGGAGCCACGCTTGCTCACTAATGAGCCAGAACGACCGGAGTGATTAAACACGAAAAACCACGGATTCACAGAATATGTAATTGTGTATCGCCGTGTGCATGAGGTTATCAAAAGAGGCCCAGCCCTCAACCCTCAAAATCCCTTACAACAAACACAAGACCAGTAACGCACTTGTAACTCTATGGTGTTCATAGATTGCCTTGCATCATCTGATTCGTCAGCTCTTTCGCCGGAAAATCTCATAAACAAAACAATTGGGTTCAAGTAATTAAGCTTCCGCAAATCCAAACGATTCAAACTAATATTATAAATGCGAAAGTTACCCTGTCTGTCGGTCTTTTCTTCGCCCCCTAAACTACTGAACCGATTTCTGTGATATTTGGCACAGACATAGTTTGGAACCCCAGAAAGGTCATATGATAGTTTTTGTAAAAAATCTGCAGAAAGTCACAATTCCGCGCGAAAGAAGTCGCGGGCAAAAGCTGGTAAACAATAAATACTACAATTTATTATCATGATATTGTACAATACATATAAGTAGATAATGTGACATAATCCACAGATGAGTGACGCATCTATTTTGAATATTGGTGAATCATTTTTTCTATTTCTGGCAGAGATAAAATTGGCTTAGTAACAGATCGTGCTCTAAGTCAATAAGTTCCGATGATTTTGGATGATATGATTGCTGTTAGGCTGTTAGTGTCCCTATTTTCTTCAATAGTCAGGTAAATGTTATCTGAGGAATAAAATTGTTGCTGTCACTGTCTTATACAAACATTATGACGCGACAGCATCATAATTATTCCCCAGGTAACTTTTATCTAACCATTGAAAAAACCAGCCCTTAATCGTGTGATAAATAGTGCCAAATATCTAATATTTTTTCAGCATTTTTTGTGATGCTATACCAAATATTAGATAATTCATTCCAATTTCAAACATAAAAAAATAAAAAGTTCGTTTCACTTACCTATGACCTTGAATCGATTTTAAGTTTTACTATTTTTTGTACACTAAAATAATAAAGTAGAATATTATTTTATCCTAAAAAAAAAATTAAAAAATCTTTTATATTGGCTTACACAAATATTTAAACAATTTGTTAAGTCCAGAATAAGTGTTGGCAACCCTAAAGAAACGTCAAAAGATTCAAATGAAATGAATTGCCGTATCTAAACTTATTACTTGGTCTATTTTTTCTTTTCCTGTCTATAAACAATCACTACATCTCTAAAATAAAACTTTAACTTTTGATTACGATGGCGATTAGTTTTATCACAGGCTAGGAGTTACCTTCGACAGTCAAAACAGTGTCACATAATTTTATTTTCATACTACCTACTCTCGCGCGGTTTCACCGGTTGCTCGGCTGTTTTTAATCGTAGCGTGATGTTTTATAGCCTATAGCTCTCAAGAATATTGTAACTCAGTGAAAGAATTTTGGCAATCTGACCAGCGGTTCCAAATATTACCCCCTACATACAAACTTACAAACATACAAACTTAAATACACAAACCTAAATTTTACCTCTTTAAAATATTAGTGTAGAAGTGTAGATTTAGCCTCGCTCATGGTAACCTGGAACAGCATAGGAGTTAGAAGAGCGTCCGCCATTTTGGGGATTAGAGATTCAGAGGTTCAGGGATTAGGAAGGGATTGCTGCAGGGGAATCAGAATTGGACCTGGAGTAACCTCGCTCACATGGCAAGTTACAACGCTGTGGTTGTTCAACCCCGGTTTCCGGTTCCCGGCACTCCGGTCAAGACGACCCATCCGCGCTGAAGCATTTATCTCCCACTTATTTTAAGGTAATTTTTTTAAGAATTGTGGAATTGAAAAAAAAATTAATAATATGAAATGAAAAAAATATGAAAGTTTTTAATTACTACGTCAGTTCTTTCACTTCGAGAAATTTATTTATTATAAGAAAAGATTATGTAAATAATTAGTTTTTTTTTGCATTTTATCTCACGTAACTATTAGACAGGATAACTAGACTAGTTTTCATATTTTCGATAGGGGCTCGTATTATGAACACAACTTTGCGCGACGCAGTTAATTATATTTTATTATTTTTTATTAATTTTATGTGATAGGTCGGCAAACGAGCAGACGGATTACCTGATGGTAAGCAATCAGCGCCGCCCATGGACACCCGCAACGGAGGAGTTACGAGTGCGTTGCCGACCTTTTAGGGATTAGGGATTAAGTAGGGATTGAGGGAGGGGAAGGATTGGGCCTCCATCATCCATAATCAATAACTTAAATATCTTAATAAACTTCACGTTAAGATTCTTGAATAAATAGGTTATTCAAAAGCTTTTGACATTTTTCTTCAGACATGTGAAGTAGCCAGCAGGCCTCTAGTTATTACTATAAACGATTCACCGTTTAATACAAATGTCAGATAATGCCAGAAGGCTCACTTGATATGTCATAATACTAAAATTACGATAGTACCTGTTTTATATGAGCAGAATGAGAAAGGTAAATACAACTATCCTGCTCTGACAATAGTACAAAACGCATCATTTTGTAATGCGTTAAAAATGCTTAAAGATTTATTAGGTTTTACATTTTGAAACTATACACGGGGAAATGAGTACCTAGTAGACTACTTCTAGGTCTATTTTCGTTTGTATAGTAGTTGTAAGTAGTAAATTTGTACTAAGAAACTTTTAAGTATAACGTAACTTGTAATAAGATTTAAAATATTCTAGATCTGACTTCTTATCAAGACTGAGTTAACCAATCTAAATAATTCTAGATCTGACAACTAGTGAAGACTGAATTGATGTCCTATCCAGGAATCTTGGCTAAGATGTGTGACATGTAAAGTCATGACATCTTCATAGAGATAGACAGTGCCTTTGTAACAATAGCTGATGTTCAGGCTCAGGTATCATGCCTAGAGTTACCCGAGCGTACTTCACTTTGCGTATCGCGCGCGCCTTAAAGAGCCAATAGACCATCACAGACGGGTGCAGATATCCAGCCGTGGATGCGGGACGCAATAAGGCTTCGCGGCCTCGCCCTAAAGCAGAAAAAGGAACGGGGTTTTTTTTAGTCAGTAAGAGTCTAACATTCCCACTTTAAAAAAAAGTGATACTATTGGAGAAGCCTATCAAACAGTAGACGAAAAAAGCGGTTTATGGGTATAATGACCAGCAAGCAAAAATATTATTTTTTAATCATGAGACTTCGGTATTACGCCTCGCCAATGAAACTAACAATTATACCATAAACATGCACGGAAACTCAATTAGCTCGCATTAGCAATAAAACGACGCATCCAAGTATGTTTTAAACACACTGATGATTCACAGTCTTTTTCATACTTATAGGACTTATTTCTGTTTTAGAGTTTGTTTAATAATTTTGGGTACGGAATTAAGACGTATTTTTAAAGGGGAATATCATCAAATCACTTCTCCCGCCCAAGATTCGAAAGGGATAGTCAAACTATTGCTGACTAAAAACCACAACTTCACACGGAAACGGAATTGAGGCCTACGAAATTTATATTATTTTATCTGTTCCCCTAGTCAGTGCTTTTTTATTTTCTATTTCTGTAATATATGTTAGAGTAAATTATTTATAACATAGTTTAACGTTCGACTTTGGGATGTGTGTCGCAAATATTATTATGAGCCTCGCGTTACTTGAAACGAGTCGAGTTATCTCGACAAACTGTTACGAGGCTAAGGCGTTAAAAATATTTTTTCCTTGTTTCTAATATTTTCACTACATACAGGCTCTTATTATTCCAGATTATTTACTCAATAATCTTGATTTTATGTCTTCATTTATGTCTGCAACATTACCAAATTAGAATCAAATTAATAAAGATTACAATTTTTTATATAAGTTAATAAGCAATTAACGTCATTAAATCCTTTTGGTTACCATAAATTTGATAATAATCTTTAGCATCAAAAGCTTTGACGTGTTTTTTGACTAAGGTTCTACTCAAGTGGGGGATACCAGCATCCTTAACAAACCGCACGATTCCTAAAAAAAAAGAGGGACATTTCACGACAGTAGTTTCCATATCCTATTACAAATGGATCGCGACTAATCTCAATTCCCAACCGGAACATGAATACATCATCGGAAGTCAAACGCTGATATATTCCACTGACCAGTATCACTGCAGACAGAGGTCTTGAAGTAAAAGGAAAGGAGGTTCGATCAGTGCCCGCGAGATCGCCCGCGCAACCGCACGTAAGACGTTCGCGCCATCTTGCACAACGCCCGCCAAAACTTATATTTTTCAAAGTGCTTTCTGTATTTGAAAAATCGAACGTGACAGTTGTTTGTTAGTGGACTTGTTTTTAAGTTTTTTTACGTGACCACCAAGGAGGCTTTGGACAATCAAGGTAATGCATTATCAAATTGGATTATCAAATTGGATTATCAGCGAACTTCAACTTTGTATGAGTACCTACTTACTTAGTATTTTTATTTCGTAATGCCTTCTATGAATAAATTGTATTGTCACTGTTTTAAAGCGTGCTCGAGTCTTAATTTAATGTCATATCTGTTTACAAACACAAAATTATATGGTACAGTCAAGTCTGTCAATGACTTCAAGCATGTCCTAAAAATCGAGAGGAAATCTGTAAATATATTTTTTTAAACTTCTTTGATCATTATAACATGTGTGTTAAAGTGGAAATTTGGTCGAGTCTTAATGATTGGTTTCGTAATTATCGTATATATAAGTTGTTACTTAACACACAACATAATGGTTATGTCGATTACATTAAAGTTAATGCACTTTTTTAGTATTTACCTTTCTTTTTGCATGTGTCAAAAATATCCTTAGAGGGTTTAACAATAGCATTCCTCCAATCGGACATTCGCGTACAAAAGTTCATGGGTACGATTGCCTCATATAAAATTATCATTACGAACCTACGGACTTAATGAACCGATCATTATTATTTGTGTTCGAGTAATGATTATTTTAAGCATTTTATTTTTAGTCGAGCCATAGCTTAATTGGAACAGCCTTGAATGTGTCGCCAATATTTACGCAAACGTTTCGTCTCTGCGATTCGGTTACAATGTTAACTAATGACATAACGCAACTTATCCGCTGACATTATTGGATAATATTAAAAACTGATAAATAAATGGAAAAAAGGTTTTATGCAAAGTTTTTTGTCATTTTTTTTCTTTGCCATTAAATCAGGTAGTGTGTCAATTTTAAAATGAGAATGCTAGAATTTTCAAAGTGGGTACTCAAATCTATATTTAATTTTTATGTGTTACATGGTCAAAAAGTGAATATGTTTACATTTTTGTTAGGTAATTTTACTTTTTTCATCATGTTTTCGGCCACATGGTTTCTCCATAATGCAATACTTAATGTTAAAATTTTGTTTGCACAAGATTATTTTGTGGTGTTTTAAAGGGGCACGGAATAACAAAGATAGCTGGACATGTTTCTCATTAAAAAATACACATAGTTGCTATTAAAAAAAATAGCTGAAAGTGTTTTGATAGACGTGTCCTAGATTGGAAGCCACGTCTAGGCAAACGTAGTGCAGGGAGCCCCCCAGTTAGGTGGACTGACGAAATCCACTGTTTGGCTGGCAGTGGTTGATGCTCAGCTAAACAGCGTGCAATTAAGTGTGGGAGAGCTATCATCATCATCATCATCAGCCTGTTGTCGTCCACTGCTGGACATAGGCCTCCCCAATTGCACGCCACTGAGCTCGATGTTCAGCTCTTCTCATCCAACCACTGCCAGCCACCCTGCGGATGTCGTCAGTCCACCTAGCTGGAGGGCGCCCTACACTACGTTTGCCTAGACGTGGTCTCCACTCTAGAACACGTTTACTCCATCGGTCATCGGTTCTTCGACAGATGTGACCTGCCCACTGCCGGGAGAGCTATGCTTCGGTACAAATGGGTCGGCTTGATCTGAGTGATACCATGGCCTCACAGAAAACCTTTGTGAAACAACCACACCGTTGTGTTTCGCCGTGGGAGTGACATTACTGGAGGGCCAATCCTTTCCCTCCTCCGATCCCTCCTTAATCCCTAAATCTCCGGGTCAGCAACGCACTCGTAACTCCTCCGTTGCTAGAACACCCGTCCATAAGCGGCGCTGATTGCTTACCATCAGGTAATCCGTCTGCTCGCTTCCCGACCATTTCATATTACATAAAAAAATACCCTGTTCTAACCATCACTCATTGGCCTACCCACGATTGCTCATAACCGTGCTGCGGAAATATAACTCAGTCAAAGTCAAAGTCAAAATCAATTATTCCAACTAAGGGCTTATTTTTCAATGGTCAAAAAAAAATGTATGGTAAAAGTTACCTGGGGAATAGTATTATAATGCTGTCGAGTCAGAAGGTTTGTAAAAGAAAGTGACAGCAACAATTTGATTCATCAGATAACATTTATTTGAGTATTGAAAAATCAACCCTAAACCAAAAAAACTAACTTTAGAAACGTTGAAATAAAATAATAGTCTGTCAGTCAATTCGTCAGTGAAGTTCGGAAGTAAATGTAGATTCGAATTGAGAAGAGCAATTCCATCGTTACTCTTTTAAAAAACGGTTGGTTCCAATATCAGTTTATTTAGTCCTTTTGTGAAACGAGCCACCAAGACAGACAATAGATACACAACTCTTTTCTCAATAACCTTAACGATTTACTAGTTAGTGCACTGTCCATACAATGGAGTACGAAGAAAAACAATATTTCCTTTAAAATTTCTTCGAACTTCATACAAGGCCGACGTCATGAAGCCGGAATAAATAAAAAAGTCTTACATATGATATTATTGATGCATGTATAACTTACTCATTAAAACATGTTTTAATTGCTTGCGGACTTTCAATTTGAGGTCGATAAAAAGAAAAAAATATGGACAATGGTGTACTGAACTCACTGACAGTTCCGTATGTTTATCAAAAACATTTCTTTCATTATTCTTGACACTTTCGCGTTGCATATAAATACTTTACTGTTTTACGGGATTTAACGCGCTCGTAACTTTTTTATGTTTTTTGCTTGACGTTTCGGAAGGTGTCACCTTCCATGGTCACAAGTTGACTGAGAAGTCGAGCAAAAAAATAAATAAAGGTACGTGAGCTTCAAATCCCGTAAAACAGTAAAGTTCAGCCAGGGGTTAAGGAGCCCACTTCTCATCCATGAGGGTGTAGGTTCGAAATCTGGCAAGTACCAATGTGACTTTTTCCGAAGTTATACGTACTTTCTATGATTATTTAGACACCACTGACATACGGTGAAGGTAAACATTGTGAGGAAACCTGGACTTATAATTTATAATTATAAATTTGAAATCGCCAACCCGCATTGAGGAAGCATGGTGATTAATGCTCAAATCTTCTTTGTGTTAGAAGAGGCCTTTGCTCAGCAGTGGTCACTTATAGGCTGATGATGATGATGATGATGATGATGACTAACATTTCTTACAGCTAAGCTAGAATTCATAGCGGTTATTTTTGTGGAAAAATCATTAAATTACTTTTCTGTCCCTGGTGTGACGAGAGGGAGTGTCGGACTCTTACTGATTAAAAACTACTTGGTTCCTTCTCCTGTTCCAGGCTGAGGCCGCGGTACATTATGTGGCAACTCCTATTTTTTTTATTAATTTTTTTTCATAGCTATTATTTTCATGTATGTTCTTAACCCGACTACTTGACCTTTAACGTCAAACGCTACTTGTTTCTAGCAGTAAAAAATGACTGATAAATTCCTTTTTTTTTATATGAAATATTATTTGGTCTTTATTTTTGAATTAATGTACTTAATTTTGTTTTATTGAAATGTTACTAGGTTAGTTTTATTTGTGAGCAGCATGCGCGTCGCTACTCCAATAAAAATGTAGGACGTCTAAAGATAGGTAGTTAGAAATAGAATTTGTAAGAAAAAAGATGTTTCTGGTTTGGCGCTAAAAGTATAATCATATTTGGAAACTGTTTTGGATTTTGTATCATTAATTATTTTGCATATTGCATTAGTTTACTGAAAGCACAAAAAATGTTTTTTCTCAATTACAAGAAATATTTTTGGCAATACATTAAACCTATTTGGCGCGAACGCCGACGTCCGCTTGGGGTTTGGTGAATTAAGATCTAGATGGCCAGCCACAAAATTAGGTACATAAGTAAATGATGCTGAGATTTATGTATTTTTTATTTTTATTTTAAGGTATTGAACCCTAAATGATAATATGTATTATTTCCGTGTTGAAACAAAAAAGCTATGAGCGTGTCACATAGGCTATGTGTATTGGTTTACTACTTATAAGTAAGCAGGCAGTAACGCCTGTGGCTATATTGTATTAGGGTGATTAGATCGAAATAATGGTGATTAAATCTTGCGCGTAATTATAATTATCATTATTATTGATTCAACAGATAATGTGACTAGTTAATGTCATTTTTGTTAGTTTTTTTTTATTTGTCTATTTGTGTATTTGCATATTTATAAAGCTGGTGCTTTTTAATTGTTTTTTGTTTTCGACGGCTAGATATTTATAGTAATAAAAACCAAATTTGAATTAAACTACTATTGGGTCTCGGGTTTCAGAGTCAAGGAAAGGATATTGAGGGGTGATTTTTCAATAGTCAGATAAATGTTATCTAAGGAATAAAATTGTTGCTGTCACTGTCTTATACAAACATTCTGACGCGACAGCATCATAATTATTTCTCACCTAACTTTTATCCAACCATTGAAAAATCAGCCCTAGTATATTATTTACCCGTTAACATTCTTAATTTAACTAGAAATAAGTCAAGCTTAGAAGAAGGCAACAAGAAAAGGTGTTCCACTTAGTAAGGTTAAAGCCCTTCTCTGTAAATTTCTGATTTGTACTTATAGAATGATTTCAAAAAACAAACAATATCACCCCACACTAGCATTTTCTCAAAAACATACAAATTCACATACACAAGCCACCCAGACCTGAAGCACACAACGTTTTGTTCCTTGCTAGAATCGTAGACGCGACACGTTGCACAACAGCCCATTGCCCAGCCACAGCACTAACGGTGCAGTCAGATTTTTTTTTGTGTTTTAGAAATAAAACTAAAACAATCAGTATTATCGGACCTTTGCATGACAAATTCTTTCTTGTTACAATCGAATGGGCCTCTTCTCACACGTAGAAGGTTTGAGCATTAACCACCACGCTTTCTCAATGCGGGTTGGCGCTTTCAAACTTAGGTATAATTACAAATTATAAGTCCAGAGGGCGTTTCCTCACTATGTTTACCTTTGCCATATGTCAGTGGTGTTTAAATAATCATATAAAGTACACATAACTCGGAAAAAGTCACATATAAATGTACACTAATAACTCGGATATAGTCATAATTTCATGACA